AAGGGGGTGATTAATTATGCAAACAATTATATTTCTTTATACATTTTTATTTCATTGACATTACTTTGTAGAAATTTGTTTTCACTTTGACATTAAAGAGTTTTTTTCCAATAAATTCTTGTGTTAAAAAAGCCAAATTTTATTGACCATGATTGATTTATGAAAGCACTAAAAGGGTAAAACATCCAAGGGGGTGAATACTTATGATAGGCACTGTATATATATATACATGTATATATATATATACATATATATGTATATATATGTATATATGTATAATAGTTATTAGTGCTGTCACAATGGGACGTGTACAAAATGGGACGTATATATATTTATATATTTATACATATATATGTATATATATGTATATATACATATATACATGTATATATATACATATATGTATATATATATATATGTCCCATTTTGTACACGTCCCATTTGACAGCACTAATAACTATTATACCTATATACATATATGTATATATGTATAATAGTTATTAGTACTCAAAATAGGACGTGTACAAAATGGGACATACTGTATATATTTATATACATATATATATATAACTATTCACAAATTTTGTGAATGATCATTTGTGGGGTTTTTTCTAACGTTCCAAGTTTACAGTTCCTAAAAGAGCCGGGAACGGCGAGCTCTCCGACGTTGATTTAGAGCCGTTCCAATAAAACTGTCGGTTGTTTTTTTGTCTTTTCCCTCAGGGAGAAAAGAAGAGGAGACAGAAGACAAATGGATGGAAAGAGAACGAGAGCGAGCCAGAAAGGAACGGGAAAGGCAGGAGCAAGGTAAAAGAACCCAGATGTGGCTCAGCTTTTTTTTTTCTTTTTTTTTTTTCCACTTGCGTAACACTTTTTTGACAACAAACCACGAGTTGTTTTTGCAAAAAGCAGAGAACGTGACCCCCGACCTCTGATCTTTATCACGTTTCTGTTTAAGTGATCGCAGGTGGCACCGAGGTTTATGTGACCGCTTTTTCTCGTGCGTCGGGAAAAAAAAAAAAACCAAGATTTCCATCTAGGGAAGATCTCAAGGAAAGCTGAGATTGCAGAGATTTTAAGAACGCAGAGAAATCAAAGCGAAGCAGGTGAGGGCGACGTGAGCCATCAAAGACGCACATGTGGTGCATTAGTACGCTTGGAAAAAAAAAAAAGAGAGTGAAATAAAAAAAACGTAATTTACATCGCACTCAATTCGTTCTCTCTGTGGTTCGGAGCAGTGTTTTTTGTTTTTTTTTTTTAATTTAGAAAAATTGAGAAAAATTTAAAAAAGTTTAGAAAAATTCCACGGCAACGAACCAAACAAAAATCCCAATAAATATATAAATAAAAAAAAATTATAAATTAAAAAAAAATCTTATGTAGTGTTGCAGGAATTGAAGAAAAACATTCGCGAAAATCTCTTTTTTTTTTTTTAAACCTTTTTATAGTCATCTGCTGCACCCTAGTGGAAGAATTTTTTCTCAGACCAATCGGTGCACACCTTATGGCACACTAGCGTGCCACGGCGCAGGGGTTGAGAACCCCTGGTTCAGAGGAGTGGATGATGTATACCGGTGTCCGGGGGTCAGGAGGTCACATCCTGTCTGCACGGATCGCTGAAATCTGGGCCACTGCTGTGTCCGAAACCAAACAAAAAGATCGTAACCAGAAAAATATTTTAAGTCAAGCAAAAAATTCATCAAATTCATAGCTCGAATGAACAAAACACATTTTTCTTCAACGGACATAAACGTTTTGGCGCGAAAATAGAAAAAAAAAAAAGAACGACATCACGCAAAAACGACCGTTTTCCGAACTCGAGGTTACACTAGAAACAAGAATAAAAATTCTTCAATGTGATCAGTTAAAAAAGTAGATTCTTCTGGAACTAAGTACAAAGGTCGTCACTCCAACAGATGTCGTCATTTCGAAACAAGATGTTAAAACTTGGACTGGAAAATCGGAATCATTCAAACGTTAACTTTACTCTCCAAACATGAGATCATTTTTCTGCGGAATTAGACGCTTAATAAGATTCATCCTCTTGGACGAACTTCGGTTTGGTATTTTGTAGTCGTACTACTCGAAGTATGCATACTACGATTAGACGTTTCTATTCTCGATAATCGATACGAAATTTTCTTCTTCTGCAGTACTGCGATATTCACCTCGACTCAGATCTGCGAGTGTACATACATATAAATATATGTAAAATGTAGAGATACATATATATGCAGTTATATGTATGAACATATATGAATATTATGTGTATATATAAAATATATGTTTATATAGGCATATACTGTATACATACATATAAATATATGTAAAATGTAGAGATACATATATATGCAGTTATATGTATGAACATATATGAATATTATGTGTATATATAAAATATATGTTTATATAGGCATATACTGTATACATACATATAAATATATGTAAAATGTAGAGATACATATATATGCAGTTATATGTATGAACATATATGAATATTATGTGTATATATAAAATATATGTTTATATAGGCATATACTGTATACATACATATAAATATATGTAAAATGTAGAGATACATATATATGCAGTTATATGTATGAACATATATGAATATTATGTGTATATATAAAATATATGTTTATATAGGCATATACTGTATACATACATATAAATATATGTAAAATGTAGAGATACATATATATGCAGTTATATGTATGAACATATATGAATATTATGTGTATATATAAAATATATGTTTATATAGGCATATACTGTATACATACATATAAATATATGTAAAATGTAGAGATACATATATATGCAGTTATATGTATGAACATATATGAATATTATGTGTATATATAAAATATATGTTTATATAGGCATATACTGTATACATACATATAAATATATGTAAAATGTAGAGATACATATATATGCAGTTATATGTATGAACATATATGAATATTATGTGTATATATAAAATATATGTTTATATAGGCATATACTGTATACATACATATAAATATATGTAAAATGTAGAGATACATATATATGCAGTTATATGTATGAACATATATGAATATTATGTGTATATATAAAATATATGTTTATATAGGCATATACTGTATACATACATATAAATATATGTAAAATGTAGAGATACATATATATGCAGTTATATGTATGAACATATATGAATATTATGTGTATATATAAAATATATGTTTATATAGGCATATACTGTATACATACATATAAATATATGTAAAATGTAGAGATACATATATATGCAGTTATATGTATGAACATATATGAATATTATGTGTATATATAAAATATATGTTTATATAGGCATATACTGTATACATACATATAAATATATGTAAAATGTAGAGATACATATATATGTATTTATATGTATGTACATATATAAATATTATATATGTATACATATAAAATGTTTATATAGGCATACATATGTAAAATGTAGCGATACATATATATGTATTTCTATGTACTGTATGTACATAGTATGTACATATACTATGTTCCTTGTGGTTTCCAGGGTTCTGAGGATGAGGAGGACCTGAGAGGCGGGGCGTGGTGCGCAAACTCAGAGGACACGATCCACTGGGTTGAGATCGACGCTCGCAAAGACACGGAGTTCACGGGAGTTATCACTCAGGGCCGGGACTCTTTGAACGAGTAAGAAGCGCTCGAACATAAACAAGCGCACGAAAAATCACCGACGTCTGAAACGTGTTTTTTTTGTTGTTGTTGCTGTTGTAGGAGCGACTACGTGACATCCTATTTCCTGGCGTTCAGCAACGACAGCAGATTATGGACAACAATCCACGACGGATACGCAGACTGGGTCAGTTCACCAGAAATGACCTCACCGCTCTGAGCGACATCGCCGCGTTCCGAGAATCGACTCGTAAAAAATCCTTGACCGTAGACGGTCGTAGAAGGACGCTTATTTTTGATGTCTTGCTCTCCGTAACTTCGGTAACAGATGAGGAACGTCACGTCATGTGACCTGAACGAACTCAACAGCAACTCGGACAGAACCATTTTTCCCATCAAAAAAAACAACAAAAAAAACAAATCAATATATATGTCCGACAGCAGGGGCCTGCCCCCCACTTTGAGAGCCACTGGGTTAATTCGTATGTAACTAAGTTGCAGTATGACAACTAGCTCTGTTTTCCTCTGACTGCCTTTCCTTTCCGTCTGCACATTTTTCTCTAGTTGTTCTTTGGAAACAGTGACAGGGACATTCCTGTGATGAACCAGTTGGCGGAGCCGGTGTTGGCCCGGTATATCAGGATCATCCCGCAGAGCTGGAACGGCTCCCTGTGCATGAGGCTGGAGGTCCTCGGCTGCCCGCTGCCTGGTGAGGTTCAGACTTGACACCCAAAATGAAAACCCGTAACGAAAAACCAACGACACGAACCCAGAAATAGAAACGTGTCCGTTCTGCTCCGTCCTGGCTCACAGACCCGACCGAGGTCCAGTACAGACAGAATGAAGTGATGCCGGTGGATTACCTGAAGTTCAAGCACCACAGCTACTCGGAGATGGTCCAGGTGAGTACTGCTACAAACTGCGGTACTACAAACATCCCTGTGGACAAGGTCTGCTTCAGTTCACACTTCAATAAAAAATATATTTATATATTTTATATAAATGTATGTATATAAATGTATAAATATATGTTTATATATTTGTTATAAATATATGTATATAAATATATAAAAATATATACTTACATATTTGTTAAAAATATATGTATATAAATATATAAAAATATATTTATATTTTTATAAATATATATAAATACACAAAAATGTATTTTTATATTTTTTAATAAGTATATAAAATATTTTTTAATAAATACATAAAAATATATTTATAATTTGTATAAACATATACAGTATATAAATACATAAAAATATATATTTATAAATAAATATATAAACTATATATAAAATAATGTATATATTTTTATTGAATAAAATATATACTCCACTACTCCGAGCCGACACACCGTGGCGCTGTCGCACTCATTGTACCTCATTGATTATATTATCAATATATTTGTTTATATTTATGTTTTTGATGTTTAGATGGGGGATTTTAATCTGATTCATTAATAGTATATTTCATGGGGGGCTGGAACGAATTTATTGGTTTTTAGTTTTTCTTCGCGAGTGCTGTCGTAGAACCGATTAAACCGGTATCTCCAGGGGATCTTCAACTTCCTGCAGACTCAAACCATTACGTCATTACTGCACAGCTCATGAAGTCGGTCAACGCCGAGTGTCCCAACATCACCGACGTCTACAGCCTGGGCCGCAGCACCAAGGGCCTGGACATCATGGCCATGGTCGTCTCCGGGAACCCCAAAGAGCACGAAATAGGTACGAACGGGTCCCTTCACCCCGACCCCCCGGGGGGGAACCGTCAAAGTTTCCTTGGTCTCTTATCCACTAGTCTTCAGCTGTTCATAATCAAAACCTCACCAGTTCTGGGTCTAGGCTCCGCCCCCGGCTCCAGTTAAATCCACTAAATATCGGGGGGGGGGGGAATTTAGAACATTAGGATCAAAAGACAAAAAGCTGTTATCTGTTCTGAATCTGTGTGTGTGTGTGCGCGCAGGTGAGCCAGAGTTCCGATTCACGGCGGGTCTCCATGGAAACGAGGCGACGGGTCGGGAGTTGCTCCTGCTGCTGATGCAGTATCTGTGCAAAGAGTACAAAGACCGGAACTCCAGAGTGCAGCGGCTGGTGGAGGGGATACGCATCCACCTGGTGCCGTCGCTCAACCCTGACGGACACGAGGAAGCGTTCGAAGCCGTCAGTGACGATAACGATAACGTTTCCTCGCGGAGCGTCGCGGCACAAAAACTAACTCCTTGCACATTTCTGGATTTTCCAGGGGTCGGAGCTGAGCAGTTGGACTACCGGACACTTCAACAACTACGGCTTCGACATCTTCCAGAACTTCCCCGATCTGAACAGCGTCCTGTGGGACGCCGAAGACAAGGGCATGGTTCCCAAACTCACCCCCAACCACCATGTGCCCATTCCGGAAAACTTTGAATTCAACAACTCGGTAAGAGAGGGATGGGGGGGCGACGAAAGCCTTTAATTTTAGCGATTGTAGGAGGCTAACGGGTCGTCAGGGAGAAGCCGTCTGTAATTAAACGCCGTCTCCTTCCAGATTGCCGTGGAGACCAGGGCCATAATCTCCTGGATGGAAAGCCACCCATTTGTGCTAGGCGCCAACTTTCAGGGCGGGGAAACAATCGTGGCCTACCCTTATGACAGTCTGCGTCTCAACAAAGTGGCCGACGGCCAGAAACCTCACAGCCGCAGGAAGAGACAGTACGACGAACTCTCCTCTCCTCTTCTCGCTCACTTTTTTATTTCCGAAAATGCCCAGTATCCGTAGGAGTACTCGAGTAGAAGTGCTCGTTAAATATTACACTCAATTATACACAAGTATTGTGTATAATTGAAATATTACACAAGTATATATTTTTGTACTGCATGTCCTGAAAAATTCAGTTTTCCTTGACAGGTACAAGGAGGAGGCATACGAGGAGGAGGAGAGGGGTTACGACGTCACAGAGTGGGGTCAGGGTTACCACAAGGAGCCGGAGGAGGACTGGCGGAGCCGGGGGTACGCCGAGCCAGAGGAGGAGTGGAGGGGGCACGGGGAAGCACGCGC